ACATGCATACACAAGTTTTTGTGTGGACATAAGTTTTCATTTTGGGGGGATATGTACCAAGAAGTGGAATTCCGGGCCACATGATGCTCTGTATTTAATTTTGTGGAACTGTTTCCAAAGTGACTGCATCATTTTACATTCCAACCAGCATCTTATGAGGGTTTCACTTTCTTCACATACTTAACCAACATGTTTTTTGGAAAACATCCTAGCAGGTATAAAGTGCTATCTCAACATGACTGACTCATAGATACATTTCCCTGAAGCTAATGATATGGAGCTCCTTTTCATGTGCTTATCAGCCATTTGGATATCTTCTCTGGACAAACTGTATTTAGATTCCTTGCCCATCTTCTAATTGGGTTTTCTTTTCTATTGAGTTGAGAGGTGAATGAGTGTGTTTTATAGGTAGAAGTTCTTTATCACATATGATTTGCAAAACTTTTTTCTTATATTTTGGGTTGACGTTTCACTTTCTTGATGGTATTCTTTGAAGTATAAAAGTTCAAATTTTGGTGATGCCACATTATCTATTTTGCCTTGGGTTGTTTGTGCATCCATGTCACATCTAGTAAATTGTTGCCCAAACCAAGGTTTTTGAAGACTTATGTCTCTGTTTTCTTCCGATAATTTTAAAGTCTTACATTTAGGTCTGTAATTCATTTTAATTGTAGACAGTGTGACATACAGGTCTAAATTCATTCCTTTGTGTATGGACATCCAGGTTATGCCAGGACAATCCACTGAAAAGACTTTTTCACTAGGTAACAGGCTTTGTATCCTTGACAACAATAAGTTGACCACAGAAATACGGCTTTCAGAAAACTCCATTTTATGCCACTATCTAAAATTATGTCAGTACCACACTGTCTTGATTGCAGTAAATCTATAGTAGGTTTTCAAATCAGGGAGGGTGAATCTTGCAACTTTGTTGTGTTTCAAGACTGTTTTGGCTATTGTGGAAGCCTTTTTCCCCTACATTTTTATTAGGGCTTTAGAATTGTACATAACGGTGGTATTTGATGGTACATACTTGTACATGCACACAACAATATACTTTGGCCAATATCACTCCCCAAGCACTCCCTCCTTCCATCCCCACCTCCCACTCCTTGGTGCCTTTCCTGTACAGACCAAACTTTCATTTCCACCTTTCTTTTCCTTTTTCCTCTCTAGCTTCCGCATATAAGAGAAAACATAGCTCTTTTTATGGTTGGAGTTTGACTTACTTTGCTAAACATAATGTCTCTAGTTCCATCCATTTTCCTGCAAATGACATACTTTCACTTTTCTTTATGGCTTAATAATTAACTCCATTGAGTACACATACCACATTTTCTTTACCCATTCAACCATTGGACAACTAGGCTAGTTCAATAGTTTGGTTATTGTGAGTTGTGCTGCTATAAACATGGGTATGCACATACCACTGTAGTATGATTTTAATTCAGGAAAAATACCAAGGAGGGATATACTTGGGTCATACGGGATTTCCATGCCTAGTCTTTTCAGGGCCCACCACTGTGATTTCCATAGTAGTTGCACTAATTTACAATCCCACCAACAGTGTAAAAGTGTTCCTTTTTCTCTACATTCTCTTTGCAGGAGACTTTCATTTCATTAGAATTATAGCACCATTTTGTTAATTTAGGGAGATAAGTAATTAGAATTTTGATAGGGATTGCAACGAGTCATAAGATCTCCTTGGGGAGTATAATTGACACTAATTGTAAGTTTTCTAGTCCATGCATGTGAGATCTGTGTACATACATGCATGCACACACACATGCCCCCAAGTGTGCACATATACACGTTAACAAACACACACACATTTGCACGTGCATGAAAACACACTCACTGGGTAGGTATGAGCATCTCCTTCTTGCTACTCTCCATTAATACCATGCCATGGAGAAAGGCACTGTGATCAGGACAAACTATGCATTCCCAGGACATACCGTTGGCCATGGAATTGCCAGGTCAAAGGATGCTTTCCTTACCAACATCAATGGAGGGCCTATTCTGTGCCTGACACTGTTCTAGGTGCCGGGGAGAAAGCAAAGAATATAGTGAACAACAGTCTCCCTCTACTGAGGGGGAGGTGGTAGAATTTAATGATCGATGCAGACACAGAGACCTGCAGTTGTCTTGTTGATTCACAGTTCTGTCAGTGGGGAGGGGAAGGAATGTCCCATTCTTGACATCCTAAGTACCACTCCCGGGGCAGGGGCTCCAGCTAGGAGGCTGGACTCTACACTAGGCACTCTACAAGAACAGGAATATGCAACTGGTGTGGCCCATTAGACAATATTAGGAGAAGTGAGATGGGAATGGAATCGTCCACTGAGCAGTGTCAGGGTCACAAAGGCAACACCCATTGGATGTACTGTCGGGGGTGGGGTGAGGGATAGAGATGAAAAGACTCATTAGAAACAGCCTAAAATTAGTACCAGGGACTGAAATGGAGCAACTTATATTCCACGCACGTATGACTAGGTCAAAGAAACCCCACTATTATGTATAATGATAATGCATCAATAAAAACAATTTTTAAAAGAAATAGGTTGAAACTGCCCCTTCTGGGAGAATCACAGATACTGGGGACACTGAGAAGGAACAGGCTGGATGAAGAGGGTGGGTGAAACCTCCCTGCACTGAAATGTACCACTTTAGTGGCCCAGATGAAGCAGTACACTTTGGGAAACACCACTGGGGAAGGGAGCCTTGTATTTTAAAATAAACCATTCTGTGTCATGTGTATTGGGCTCCCCACCAAGCAGGAACCTCCACACATCCAGTCAGGGTGAGGCCTCTGCAGCCTCTCAGGTCACCATCATTCCATTTATGGGCCCAGCTACTTGGCTCTACAGATCTAGCCCTAGTGCAGCCAGGAATAAGGGCGAAGAGATAAGTGAATGGTCCCAGGGTGGAGCAGTAGGGCAGAAATTAAGGATGACACTAAAATCTATGTGGTTAATGTGATTGCCCATTCAGGACCTTCCAGGTTAGAGAACATGCATGGTCTGGGTGTCAGGGGTATTGTCCTAGTTTGGAAACATACAGCCCCAAAGGTGGGGCTTCAAATAGCAAAGTGGAGGTGGATTGGGAGAGTTCAGGATCCTGCCCTGGAACCTCAGTCGACTCACCTGTACAAAAGGCTTAAGGTATTACCAGGTCAGTAAGATCACTGGCTCATTGATAAATGCTGATTGGATCCCATTATATTGATCTGAAAGCCCAATATCAGTTTACAGACACACCAAGAAAACCATTCACAGTCAGAAATATGTTCCCCAGAATACCCATGGGTGCAGTTCAAAGAGGATTGGGTTCCTCCAGAACCAGTCCTGATTCCTCCAGGGAGACGGCAACCTGATCCATAAAAAGAAGTAAATGCTTAAATGATGTGTTTTTAGGCATTAGGCAGCAGAGATGTTGAGAGCATCTTGGTAATTAGGGCTTAGGTGGATTCTTAAGGGAACAAATTTATCACCAGGCATCAATTAAGCCCTGACTTTGTTCAAACATCTCCAGAAACACTGCAGGTATGAGACTGAGTCCTCAGGGAGTGGAGATCCACCAGGGGATCAGATATGAGCCAGTGTGTGTCTCCAAAGAAGATGAGGCCCACTAGCAAGGCCACATCAGCCTCAGTCCCAAAACAGCACAGCCTCCCAGCTGTGACTGCCCATGAACAAACAGTCCTACACCAGGGTTGCTCTCATGGTCTATGTGCGGGAATATATCTGCTCTGTCAACTTACACCAAGCTATGTGTAAGTACAGAGACCCTCACACCCCATTCCCTTTATACCTGATTTATGAATTGGGAGGAGGGGACAAGCATACTCAGAGGAGGACAGAAAGGACTGGGAGTGAGGGGTTGATGAGGGGGCGGGGTTGTACGGTCTGTGTCATATAGCCCTGGCACTCTGCGGCAAACACTTTCACCATCTCCCCTTTTAATCTTGAGTCATTCATGCTCAAAAGATCTGCAGAGGGCCATCTGTTCAGGGTTGAGGAGGGCAGAGGAAATCAGGGGGCTCCTGGATCCACATGCTCAAGAGTCAGAAGGGCACCATTCAGAGTGAACAGGATGCTGGGCAGGAGGTCCATTGTTGAGCTGGAGGCGGGTTCCCTGAAGCTTCAGCTCTGCTATGACCACTAGAAGACCATTGTGGTTGGTTCACAGGGACACACTCAGCCTCTCCTTACCCAAAGAGTGATTCTGTGGCATAAGGGCATCTCAAGCCTGAGGGCAATGAGGGTTCATTTCCAGGATGGCACAAGACATCTTAACCTAGAACATATCCCCAATCTGGCAGGCACAGGACTCCAGGGTGCATCAGGCCTCGGTATATGTGAATCACTGCCCAGAAGCAGCCTCTGAGGGCAGAACCTGGGTCTTCATTCCCTGGAAAAGGATACTCAGGTGCTTGGACCAGGGCCCAGATGTAGGGGTTCATTCTCATTCTTCTCTATTTCTCTCTCGGTAGTAGGGATTCAACTCAGGGGCACTCAACCACTAATCCACAGCCTCAGCCCAATTTTTGTATTTTATTTACAGTGAGGGCTGAACTGAGTTGCATAGTGTCTTGAAAATTGCTGAGGCTGGCTTTGGACTCACAAAACGCCTGTCTCTGCCTCCCAAACTGCTGGGATTACAGGCATGCACCACCATGCCTGGCCCTCCTTTCTCTTTCATTCCACCCCTGTGTCTCACTCAGGAGACTGGGAGAAACCTGGCTGTGGCCCTATCTGGCATGGATCCTAGAAGGGGTGAACTTGTAGGTTTCTAAGGCCATCTAACACATCTCTGAGTTGTTTCAAGGTCCGCGTCCAGACTGGGAGGTCCCTGGCCCATTATAGGTTGTCAGTTGTCTGAGTCGTTTCAGGATGTCTGTGCAGGATGTGAGATCTGTTGAGCCCTGAGGGGCTTGTGTCCAGAGTGAAGGATCTCAGGGTTTTTTATAAATGTGTGTGCTGGTGTGTGAGGTGTGTGATCTGTTTTAGGTGCTGTGTCTACCATATACATTCTCTGCAGTTTTTGTTCTGCATGTCCAGAATTAGGGTTTGAGCTCTGCAGAGTAGCGATGTGCAAAATGTGATGCAACCCGACATTCCTCACCCTATGCTCATGAGATCATAGATGTTATCCAAAACAAGGGTGTCTGATCTTTTTTGATTCTGGATCCTGAATGTGACCTCTGTGACCCAATCATAAGTCTGTATCCCAGGGACTGAGGTTGCTGCAATTTTGAGGGGTTGACCATTTCCTGGTTTGCAAACTTTGGGCTTTGTGCACCAGGCTCTGACTTCTCTGAGATGTTGGTTACACATACCCTCATGCATGAGGTCTCTGTGTTTTCAGTACCAGTCCTCTCAGATGTGCATGTGCCTGCATACCAGGGTAGGGATCCAAGCTTTTGTGGATTTGTACGTCCAGGGTGGGAGGTCTGGGAGCTATTTGGGTTTTTAAGTCGTGAGTTATGAAGTTGTTGGCATGCAGTTGAGTCTATATTTCAGAACTGGACATCTCAGGGCTCTTCTGAGTCCCTGGCCTCATTCATTGAGCTGAGCAATCTAGGTTCAGTCAAGTGTGAGGTATTGTGTGTCCAAAGATTTGAGGTCTGTGAGTTGTGCTTTCCTGGATTGCGTTCTGGGTTCTGCGTGGCACTGGGATACTTGGGGTTTGGTGACTTATAGGGTGAGGTCCCTGAAGTAGCTGGAAGTTCATGTCCAAGGTGTGATGGTTCTGAGCTGAGGGAAGATCTGTGTCACAGAGACAAGCATGGTCTGCCTTTTGTTCTGTATTCCAGGGTCTCAAACACCTGAGCTATGAGCAGGTTCCACTCTGGGAAGAGAGACATTGTCACATTCCCAAGTTCAGACAGGAGGTTTTTGACCTCCTCCTGATGTTTCATTTTCACAACTGTCCAGAAACAGTGAGAGGTTATCCTGAGACTTCGTTCACTTCAGCTCCCCAAAGCCCACATTCCTTATCTAAATGTTCAGTTTAGTCAGCTTCCTTCAGACCCTGCCCTGGATTGAGAATCCTGCTGCTCTTTAGAAAGACAAGGCACCTCCTTCAGCCACAGCTGAGGAAATCTCAGTGACAAGGGAAAACGGGCCCCCCACCCAAGTATGAACGGGACATACCCATCTTGTCCTGGGATATTATGGTCTGCTTCCTTCTAGGCCTCACGACACCCAGAAAGTAACCAAGGCAGAGGCACCGCTGCAGCTCATCACCCACACAATTAAGGGCCTGGATCCCAGGACACTGCTGGGTAAGAGAAGACACTAGCTCTTGGGAGCACCTTTGAACCTCTACGGGACTTTTACCTGAGAAGCACTGACGGCACTGTATCCAGACCCCTTCGGACCCTTCCTCCCATTGGACACATCTGAAATCAGAAGTTGGGGCTGGGGAAAAGAAAGGGACGCCGTGAAAGGCCATCTCTGGCCAGGGAAAGAGGATGGGCCCTACTGTCCAGCAGGAAATGCAGGATGAAAGTGCGCAGATCATTTACCAGAAATGTGGGTTGGGCCGATGATAGTGAACTATCCCATAAGATCACCTCCATCTCTAAGATACCCATGGTTTCATCGTATTAACTTCTGACTAACCACACGTTATACACTGCTACATGAGAGAGAGATTCAGAGACAGAACTCTTGGTTCCTTCTCTGGTAACTTGGAACATGGTGACATGACAGGTTCCTGATAACGACCCAAGCCATTTCCACGTTGCGCACAATGGGATAACAAGGCAAGTGGAGAATGGGATGTTCTCTTCAAATGCCAGGATTAGTGTTTCAAGCCAATTGTACCAGAGCAGGAAGCTTTAGCCATTTTCCAAAACACCCTCTGTTGGAGGACAAGCAACCCCTTGCTTCTACCGCATGTGTTCCCAAACCTGCAGAGTATGGAGGACAGTGCCTCCAGGATCACAGACAAGAGCACCTTGTCTATCACATGCTGGGGAAACTTCCTTCTTAATGACAAGTGAGCTTTGGGGGACTCACCTTGCACCTTGGCCTCAGAGCACTATTCGCTGTGGAGCCCAGCTACCAGTCTCTGGAGGGGTGAAGTCTGGGGAAGCCTTCTCACCTGCAGGGTCAGGGAAAAGGGAGTCACACTCCATGATGCTTCTAACTTCTCTTATTCTCCAATTCCATAAGGCCAATGGGAACTTCATGGATGTGTGTTGAGCCTCCCTCTGTAACAGGCATGGGAATGGGCTCACTATTATTTAACAGTGAGATCCTTTGGGGGCAAGTCATCGGAGCACTGGGGGAGGTAGAAATCTTCTGCTTACTCTTGAAACACAAAAAAAAAGGTTGAAAAATGAGAAAAAGGGATGAGGGAAACAAGTTCACACACACAGTTCAAAGCATCTCATAGTCACCCAACCACATTAATCACACTGCTCTCCTGAGTGTTTCCTAACGTGACGCGGTTTGTTTTCAACTTACCACTTCAAGGAATGACTTGAGGCTCCAAACTAGGGCCAAAATGCTGACTAAATTAAAATTTCTGGAAAGTCAGTGTGTGGGGTTTGAAACGAAACCGGGCAGCCTTGAGACTCAGATGACAGAACTGTTCGGCAATAATTGTGCCTCAGACTGATGCAGCTGCTGCCACACAGCGACCTGGCCTGAGCACACTGAGGCCACTACCAGATGGGGGAAACTAGGACCCAACAGGGTCTCAGTCCAGTGGGAAAGGACACACCACCCTTCCAGCGACAAACCCTGTGGATGGTCTTCTCTGAGCCAGGGCAGCTTGCAGAGCTAGGGTTCATCTGGTTACAGAATTGACAGAAATCCCTGCCCAGGGACCTGGGGATGTGACTCAGAGGTAGAGTTCCTGCTTCACATTTGTCTCCAATGATAGGGACGTCTACATCAGCCGCAGCAAAGAGAATGGGACCGTGGCCCTGGATGGGTACCTCCAGGAGGGCAATAACATACTCTTCGTAAGTGTTGAAGGCTTAAAGAACCTACTCTAGACCTCTTTCATAATGCAGCCTATGCTCTGTCACTGTAAGTGCAGCACAGGTTATAGTGCAGAATGGACTGAAGAGATGTCGAGGTGAATGGGAGCTGTGGTATTCCCATAGCTATGGTGCTGCTGTCAGTGTCTGCCTTCACCATGGTCATGGCCTAGGCTGTCACGAGACACTGGTAACACCTTTGGAAGGCTTGCTGTCTTCTAGTGCTCCCAGTGAACTTCACATTTCTCTTACCCTCCTTCCCTGCTGTTGTCCCATAATCCTTCTCTCTCTCTGCACAACTAACACATGACTTAAAAGGCCTGATTCCCACCCAGAAGCTTGCTGTTCAAAATCTCCAAGTCATCATATTCTAATCAAAGTGTAAAGGTATAACTGGGAGGAAAGCTGAAGGAAACAAATGAAGAGTTTTGTGTTTCACTAAGACTGTCAACAGAAGCTCACCTACGACCCAAGCCTGAAAACACCCATCACCGTGGGTGACAGCATTTTTCTTAGCTGGCATGCCATGAAGGCCAGCTACAGGACATGAGATAAAGATATACATGGTACACACACAAATGCATATGTGACAGCATAATACCGATGCCTTAGGGAAACTGAAGAGGTGAGAAAGCTACTACCTGGTTTCTAAGATTATGATTTAAAAGATGATTTTAGCTGAAGAATTTAAAGAGCTATTTGCAAAGAACATATTGTGCGATAGTGGAAATGCCCACTCAGTGTCATCTAAAAAATTAACAACTGAAGGAACTGACTGAAAATCACAGAAGAATGGTATTTCTTTTCACAATAGCTAAGGTGAAGGAGAGGTAAAATTTGCTACAAGGTAGCAAAATCTGCTCCCATCAGTAAGTACTAAAAACCTTGTGATATTAAGGTAAGACTCATCAATCTCTAGCTACCCTAGTGGCTTCTTTGGTACTTTTCAGTGCTGTTAAAGGTCAGCTGGGTTGACTCTGACCAGGGTTATGACAAAGGGACCAAACCGACCCTTCAAAACCACTCTGGAAGGACAAAAGATAGTGCCTCCAAGGTGGCACCTGAACTCTCTCAGGTTACCTACCGGTCCTTTAGGTTTCTATTAACAGGCAAACCCTGAGAAAAGGAACTGCCTTCTGGGCCGGATGAGCATGAAATCAGCTCTGTTTCTGATTTACGAAAGACGAGAAGGCCTGGATTGTTTTTTTTTTTTTTTTTTTTTTTTTTTTAAAGTCTCTAAACACAGAGCATGGCCTTTAATAAGTTAACAAATGATTTTTCAGAGACAGGGTAGGGAGGGGAAGAAATGCTACTGAATCAGAAATATTGAAATGGACAAGTGAGCTGCAGGTGCGAGTATCAAACAGAGTAACTAGAGTCCCCATGGAGAAGGAGACATTTTGACACAGATGAGAAGAGGAAGAAGATTCAGTCAAGCAGACACCTGGGGTCAGGGTTTTCCACGGGTCAGGCTTTTCCACACAGAGAGAACAGCTGGGAAGAGTGTCTGAGGCAGAGCTTGCCGAAACAGTGCAGACACACTGCAAGGACACCAGAGCAGCCTGGAGTGGGGAAGAGCTGAGCAGAAGGCTGAAAGTGTGAGGGTCAGAGGGCCAGGCTGCTGTGGGATGAAGAAGCTTCGGCTCTATCAGCCGGACAGTAAGGACAACAGAGGGTCACAGATACCCAGGCAAGGCAAGGTGTGGGGAAAGGAGAGAGGTGGGGCAAGAGAAATCAGCAAACAGGAGAGTTTGGGCAAAAAGCTAGGACCACAACCAGGTAAGGCTGAGAGAGCCCATGGGGACCTCACTGGCATCTTCATACTGTCCACAGCCTTGTCTCAAGGGACATCTGTGCTCTAGCCACAGTACCACATACTCAAATACCAGGCCCAAATTCACTCAGTAGTCCTCCTGCTGAACAGGGGTCTACTATGTGCACCGGACACTTGAGAAACTCTGGTGACGGACCAGAGCAATACTACTGGGAGGCTAGACTGGAGCCTGATGGACCAAGAGACTGCTCAACATATACTCACAATATTTGGAACCTCTTTCCTCAGATTTCCAGAATTAGACATGGGATGAAACCACGATCTTCCTTTCCACCCTGGTGGAAGACAATCCAAGCACAGGGGAACCCTTTGTTCATTGTCGTTTCTGCTGCAGAAATAACTGTAACTATAACAGCTATCCGTTTCTGTCCAAGTAACTTTGCTCAAAGTTCTTCAATCACTAAATAAGCAAGTTCTAAGCACTTGCTGGGCAAGGAGATGGGAAGGAGCATGCAGGGATGACATAGGCAGTACCTTTGCAGGCTGAGGACCCCCCCCCCCCACTCTGGTGTGGTGGGAGAAGAACGATGCCAGAGTTTAAGCCACAGCACCCCACGAACATACAGAAGGGCAACTCACACTCACCTACAGGGTGTCTGGGAGGGTTTGCTCAGGCCACACTCACCAGGGAGGGGTCGGCGTAGCAGATAGGTACTCTGATTATCCACATCATAGAATGGGGAGAGCTGAAGAACAGAGCTAGACTTCCATCCTCAGTCCGGTGGGCCCCACATCACTATGCTTCGGTGTCTGGTTGACTCCAGGGCTATGTTGAAGCCATTACAAACATTTCTTCTGGCACTGTTTGCCTCTGAATTCCTATTATCTGTCAGGGAATGAGATTAAACAGAGTGAGACATAATTTGAGGGTGGAACTGAAGATTTCCTGCTGGAAGAGAAAGCCCTGTGCCACTGTAAGCTGAAGCCAACCTTTCCCACCAAAGAGACTCCAGGGCTGTCGGGTCACAGCGGCTCCTGGGAGGGCAGACACCGAGTGTCCTAGAACCCTCAGGGTGGCTTCACCTGATGGGGGCCCCTGTTTCTCAGATGCACGTGGTGTTGGAACAACAAGGACCATCCAATCACAGCACGGTATCTGCATCTCGGCAGGCAGCTCTGAAACCCAGACGGTTTTGCTGTACCTGGAAAGAGGCCTGGCTATAAAATTGGACAGAACTGGGATGTGAATCCCAGACCCAGGCTCTTCTGCATCAGCAACCCAACTTCTTACTGTTCGTCTCCCTTTGCTATGCAGAACCAAATGCTAGGGCCCCTGGGATTCTAGCTTACACTCCAGGCAGGATGAGGTTGGGAATGGTGGTGGTGGGACTGGTGCCATTTCCACCTTTTCTTATTTATTGTTCCCCTGTCCACAGCACACACTTCATTTCACGCTTAGGTGTGCTAAGTTAAGAGGAATCACACTGGGCTTCGGTGAACAAAATTCATGCTCGCGGTGTACTATGTTGCAGATAGAACCAGCTGTGGACCTGACTTCTCTAGTGGATGGTGTAAAACAGACACAGAATCTCATGTGGGAAGCGGATGGCATCCTTAGTAAAAGATAAATGACGAGTTGCATGCAAGCACTGCAGAGTCCCTTGGAGGGTCCCGAGTCAAAGACTGATGACCTTGGCCTCCTGCTGACCCACACCCTGGCAAAGGGAGGACAGCTCGGCTAGTATACTTTCTTTTTGTTCTTTTTAGTTATACAAGACAGCAGACTCCATTTTGAGATGTTTAAACAAGCATGGTATATATCTTATTCTAATTAAAATCCCAGTCTTGTGGATGGACACCATGTTGAGATTCACTGTGGTGTATTCACATATATACACATAGGAAAGTTATGTCAGACTCATTCCTCTGTCTCAGTTAGAATGCTTTGTCACTATAGAAAGCTCAGACTGTATCTAAGACGGAACCTGCCGTGGACCATCATTACACCAAAACAGTCGTTATCAAGGGCAGATCAAATCTTGTTTACTTAATTTCCTTGGTCAAGGAGGCTATAAAGTGACAGATTCTTTCCTTGTTTCTGCTACTTAACTCTCCACTGCAAGGGAGACCTCCAGCCTGCATCTCATCATGGTACAAAAATTATAGCCGCAACTGCAAATTCCAAAGGCAAATGCAACATTGGGTCCATATGAATGAAGGGGAGATCTTTGTGAATGTATGCTATTCTCTTCCTTGAAATCTTTTACACATATGCCTTTATTACTATTTACGTAGGTGTCACTATTCTTTAAGCTCATTTTTATCATATAATTAAGGCATACGACATGATGTTTTGCACTACATACACAGTGAAGTGATTACTGAGGTCGATCAAATTAAACTGTGGCCTTCCACACTTACCATTGTGTATTGTATTTCTCAGTAAAACTTGCCCCGGAAGCCCAGCTCTCAGACCTATTCCAATTAGTCAGTCGATCTGGGAAATCTATAAGGAATCTTCATCAAGTGCCAAGTCAGTAAGCTTTTCCAGCCATCTACTCCCTAGGTAAAACAGAAACTGCAGCTAGGCGTGATGGCAAACACCTGTAATCCCAGCAGCTGGTGAGGCTGAGGCAGGAGGATCATGAGTTAAAAGCCAGCCTCAGCAACTCAACCAGGCCTTAAGCAACTCACTGATGCCCTGTCTCTAAATAAAATGTAAAACAAAACAAACAAACACCAAAACCAAAAGGTGGTGTCTTGGAGAAAAAGGTGTGCAGAGGGTGGGCGTGGACAGTTTCAGTCTGGGACATGCTGATCATTAACTGTTGTGGGAGTCAACCACAACGGTGACTCTGGGGAGCTGACCTAACCTCTCAGTGCCTAGCATGCCATTTCTGTGATTGGAGAATAATAAATAAGAATTAGAAAACATGACTTAATTAGTTTCATCTGTTTAGTGTAGGGGAATGTTCTCTTTTTATCCGGAAGCATCGTGGTGGTTATGGTCAGGTAGTCACCATGCAAAAATGGGAATCTCTCTACTTACCCACATATAGGCTTCGGGTGTGCTCACCACAGAGCATGTTTTGCAAATGCTGAAAGATAGGCAGGAAGGAAGGGAGGGGGGGAGAAAGGAAAAGTAAATAAATTGAATATAATCCGAGCTGACCACCACCTGCGTGGAGCATAATTGTCTGTCTCCTATGGAAGACTTAACCTCTCCTCCTCTCATCCTTCAAGCTCCTGATAATAGGCCCTCTCTCTCTCCAGCCGGTAGGGCACCGGCTTTGGGATCCACTTTCCCTACCACTCTTTTCTCTTGGAGGTCACGTCCACTGCCCCAGAGTTCACTGAGTGCAAAAATGTGACTGGTGGGTGGTTAGTTGGCTCAAGAGGTCTACAGTTTAGGAGGGAGGACTGATTCAGATATCTGGATCTGAAATGGGGTACTGAAGCCACAGACACTTGGATTTGCATCAGTGATACCCCAGTTATTCCCTGTGTAACTCTGGGCTGGTTATGAAACCTCTCTGTGGCCGTTACCTCACTTTACAAACATTTTTATTTGGTGCTGGGGATCCAACCTAGGGTCGCCAACCTGCTGGGCAAAACCTCTGTCACCTGAGCTCCAGCCCTCATTTGGGGCTGGGGACAAAGTTCAGTGGCAGAGGGCATTCCTAGGTGGCGCAAGTCCCTGGGTTCCATATCCAGCACTGGAACACAAAAAGACACCTCATCTATAAAATGAGGATGATGATCACAATCTGGGACAATTACTGATTTCTGCCTTCACCTACACCATGAGTATGCGACCATCTGGAAAGTATAAAATGCTGTTCATGGGTTAGTAACTTCCAGGGCAAAATGATCATCTCTTTCCATACATATGGATCTGCTTGGAAAGGCATGAAAGATGCCCTGCTTAGTTTGACCTTGTTGAACATCTCCTGACTCCTGATGCAAGTCATGGCGAAGAAATTCCAGCATGATTTCCTGCTCTGGGAAACGCTGACCACAAAGGACCACCCTTCCCCATGCGACTAAAGATATGAGGCCTGCACTCTGTCCACCCGGCCACCAGTCCCACACCACTCGGGTATGACAGGCCCTCCTGACTCCTGGTCCACTGTCTGTCTCAAGGATGATGCGCTTAGATTTGGAAGTTTCTTCTCCTCGACTAGCTGGGCAGCGATAATCACTCCCCATTCAGTTTACAGAGAGCACCTCTGATCATATCAATAACCTCCGCCCCCGTTAAATCTCCCCCACTATAGCCTGTCTATTCCTCGCGAAACGCAAAGGCAAGAGCCACCCCGCCGCGACACTGGTATCCACATCCAGGGCCCTCTGCCTACTGCAGCAGCCCGAATGGGTTCCATGTCTTTGCGTGTGTGCGTGCGCACGCGCGTTCCTTCTCGGTGGGCTCCTTCCGCCCTTGCAAAAACAGCTAGTGAAAAAAACCCAAATCACAGAGCGGGTATCCGGTCTCGCGCGCTCCAGACCAGAACGAGCCAGCCCGTCCCTGAGCAGGTGGCCTCCCGTGACCCCCTCGCCGGTTCCCACGAGCCCCGCCTGTGACGTCACCTCCGCTGCCCGGAATCTCTTCCCACGGCCTCGGCGAGCATCGCCAACTCCCGGACCCGCGCTCTCGAGGTCGCGAGGGCCCGCGGCGGTGCGCTGCCCGGACGGCGGGCGGCCTCGACGCCGCCGCTCCGCGGGGCCGAGAGGGAACGCGCGGGCCGCGACCCCCTACCCTGCCGCTCCGCGGAGCAACCCGGGGCCGTCCCCTTCCCGACTCGCACTGCAGCTGCCACAGCGAACCCAGGTCCCCGTTCTCCTCCTCCCAGGCGTCCCTGCCCTCTGACGCACGCCAGGCCCACAGACCCCGCCTTCCCTGGCGCGGCCTCTCTAGCCTCCGGAGGGCGGCTCCTCTCGGTGATCTTAACCCTTTCCTTCCAAGCGCCGCGGTGCGTTACCAGGGCTGAGGAGAGCTGGCGGCGCGCAGGCGAGCAGACGCCCGGACCCGCTCCGGAGAAAGACCGCGCGTGAGACAGCCCGAGTGACACCGAGACCTAAGGAGCCCGAGCGACAGAGATAGAGAGAAGCGGGTGGGAGAGAGGCTCGGAGAGACGGAGAGCGTGGGAGCCACAGAGAGACAGGGAGAGACTGAGAGAGACTGGGAGGCGAGGGGGCTGGGAGAGAGACAGACGCAGAGGGAGCCGGAGACCCCGAGAGACGGAGAGAGAGGGAGGCCGAGGGGGAGAGACAGAGTCTCCCTGGCACCGGCTGGGTGAGAGAAGGAGAAGAGAAGGGGGTGGGGGAGAGACTCGGAGAGAACCTCCTGGACCAGGCCAGGTGCGCCTGTGGGTCCTGGGACCAGAGTCCTCCTTTGGCCAGCCGTGAAGGGCGCTTTCCGAGGGGACCGTTGTTTTTCTCAGACGCCCCATCTCGTCCTTATCAGAATGGCGGGTGGGCAGTCTGCGTGTGGCGTATTTCTCTTTCTCTAGCTGGGGCCCGGCGTTTTGAAGCCGAGAAATAGGACTGAAACTTCCTGTGGGCATCCTTAAGCAGCTGGGTGCTCGAATCCGTGTTCAACAGGTTCAGAAATAACCTGTTTCCTCGGTATCGCCTCCCACTCCGCCTCATCTCCCACCCCACCATAGGAGACAAAAATCTCTGAAGTGATTTCAAGGAAGGCGACATTTCCCAAATGGAAACGTCAGAGAAAGTCTTCCCAGGATGCGTGAGAGCCAGAGGGCTCAGGATGTGACTTAGAAGCAGGCAGGCTCTTAGTAGGCTCTGTGATTCCTGCATTCGCATGCAAGTGTTTGGACCTTTTCCATCAAATCACTATGCGAGCTGCAGTGTGTGATGTTCAGAGAGGGAGGGCATCTTTGGTCGTCCCGTTGGCTGCAGTGCAGCCGATCCTGGGCAGTTGACCTGGGTGGGATCAGAAATTTGGTGTGATGATAGGCTGACAGATTTCCACTGGCACTTCCCTTGCGGTTTCCCTAGATTCACAGGGTCCTATGGGGTGTGTTGCATTTGTGTGTTGACCTGCGTGCGTCAGGGTAGTGTTAGTTTTATCCAAGAAGGGCCAGTGAGTGGCCTTGCTTGGCTGAGCCTCTTGGGGTACCAGCAACAGGGAGAAAGGCCAGAGAGGAAGCAGTTCTCTGTTTTCAGGAGCAGAATCCCAACAGCTCCCTGTCAAAGTGTCTCTTAGCCTGGACCATCACTGGCATTTGAGAAAATGCTCCGGGAATGATTTTCATAGGGAGGCGCTTGTCATGCTCTTTGCAGTCAGATGTCCATTACATTAGAAATCAGACTTGGGACTGTGTGACTAGCTGAGTTAAAACTAAGCCCCAGATCCATTTTGTTGACCCGGCGTGTGGGTGGAAGAAAAACTAAAGATAAATGTTCGGTTCTGGTGCGTTGCAAGGAAAATTTATGTTCTTAGAGTAATGATCCCGTGCTAACCCCCCATCTGTATTTGATATTTATCAGATTATGAGAATTTAAAGGTAAGGAGAGCCACGGGTAAGTATAAGATAGCGGATGGAAACTGAAACAGGCGACAGTAGTGAGAGGAGAGATTGGTGTGATGAAAGGTACAGAGATATTTGTATTTTAACAGACCTAGCGGAGAAATGGCCAGCATCACAACCTAGCTCCGTGACCTTGAGTGAGTGGCTGAACATTTCTGATCCTCACGTACCTCATCTGCAAGTAAGGGCGATAATACAGATTGAGTCTCCGTCTTCTGACACTCCACAATCCGAACTGCTCCCAAACCCCAAAATTTCTGAGAGTGGCTGGGGGTGGGGTAGCTCAGTGATAGAGGGTGTACTTAGCATGCCTGAAGCCCTGGGTTCACTCCCCAGTGGGTATGCACACATACACACAGGCGCCTTAATTAAAGATATCATATGAAACTATCTTTAGGGTATTGTGTACAAGGTGTGTATGACTCGTAAATGAATTCAGTGGGTCTCCCCCTCCCAGAGAATCTCATTAGGTATATGAAAATTTTGCAAAACCCGAAACACTCTGAAATACTTCTGTCCCTGAGTATGTCAGGTAAGGGATAGGTAACCTACGTTTTCCCTAGGGCACCACGCCCATGGAGAAGCCCTTCCTGACCACCTGGGCCTCAGGGCCTTCTCTGAGTTTTCAGCTCCCCCAGCTCAGGTCCTCTTCATCATCTTCAGTTTGGCTCCCTGCCCCCAAAGACTGGGAGCCTGCTGAGGACTTTTATCCTGCAAGGAGGATAGAGTGTGCAGGAGTGGATGCAGAAAGTATATCAACTTCATTTTCCGTCCATGCAGAGAGTGTTTATGGCTTTTATCCCCACACAGTAGAGAGTCCAGAGCCATATACTATGAGCACAATAGCCATGTATTCCCCTTCGTTGGGAATAGGAACTGTCAGACCAGCTGTTACTCGGGCGGGGAAAAAAAAAAAAAAAAAATATATATATATATATATATATATATATATAGTGAATGAGCTGGCGTGGCAGGTCCTGTGCTTGAATTTCTGCTTATTCTGAGGAGATGGGGTGAGAAGCATTGTGTCTTCTATCCCTAATCTCTTCTTAGGTTTCTAGTAACAATGTAGCACCTAGGGTTTGTTTTTGTTTTTTTTTTTTCCCTTCTGCTTTATATTATACCTTAGAATGTTCCTTACTGGGGCTGAGCTCTGTTCTCTGGGTATGGCTGCTTTGGGTACCTCACTGAGGGGACCGCTGAACAGAGTGTGCCATCAGTAAAGAAGTGTTAGGTGAATACACCTCACCATTCAGGTTTTGTTGTCTTGTAGGTGAGAGGCATAGATCTCACTCGCGATGGCATCAGCAGCATTGACGATGTGAACCTAGTGATCAGTGACCCGGGTGACCAGGTGAGCTCTTCACTTTGCAAGAGGAGACTTTTCCCTTGTCTTCCTCCTGCTGCTTCAGCCTCTCCTCCTCTTCACCCTTTCCCTGCCCCCACCCCTTTGAACTCCCACTGTGGTTCCCTGTCTGTGTCTTCTGGGCCCACCTACAGGAAGATCCCAAATGCCATGCCAGGACCACGTTTCATTGGTCTTCATGTTCTTCTTTCATGCTGGAAAGCGGGCATCACTGAGTGTTGGCTAATGTCCATGTTCTTTTGCAGCAGAGCCGCTGACAAGACTATCCCCTCTCTTCCTGATAGAGGAGAATACAGCTAATCCGTGCAGGTGACAAAGATACAGAACAGCAGCGTGGCACTGCACTGTCTGGAACTCAGACTCCTTTTTCCCTGGCGTTGTATAAGGTGGGCATACGCTTTTCAGCAGATAGTGACCTTGCACGGATCTCAGCCATTTTTGGTAGAGTCTTGCCATTTCTGGAAAACCATCATAGTATTATGTAGTTGATAGTAGTATGTGAACTCAGTTCTTCCGAACTGAAATGAACTCATTTTATAAGGATATGTCATCACATTAGGCAGAGTTGGAAAAAGTATCGTGTGTCCTTGTCTCGATCGTCAAAATCAGCACAGCTCTCTTCCCAGTGCTCATCACCCCCACACTGTATGCATTTACTTGTTCGGCTATTTACCTTCTGCTCACCCGGGCTAGAATGCAAGCTGATGAGGGCAGGAGGTTTGAGCAGGCTTTGTTGAGGACAGCATTCCAGGCACCGAGAACAGAGCCTGGTACCAGTAAGGGAAGGTAAACATTGGCTGTGACAGTTGCCTGATCCCTGGACCAGCTCTGGACACGTGGGCCAGCCTCCAGGACTTTCCTGGCTGGCCTCTTCCCCCCCGCAGGATTACTTTGTAACTCGGGCTTCCATGCCAGTTGATAATCCACAGAGGCAGTGCCCTGCCCCCAAGAGAAACACGCACCTGGAGTCAGACAGACATGGCATGGAATTCTGCCCCTGTCTTAGATGTGTGGTCTTAGGGCTATTACCCAACTTTGTGGTGCAGGAATTTGCTTCCTTGCAACACGGGACAGTACGGATTGTATAGGGTTTTACTTACAGAGTGAGACATTTGTGGAGGACCCCAAATTCTTCTTACTTCATTTGCAGGCTGTTCGTGAACGTCCACTGGGGTCGGGGCTCTGTGATGGGCAAATTCTGCCAAGTCGCTGGCCACTGTTGGCTTCTGGGCTAGTGAGTGAGACAGGCAGAACCATCTGATGCCAACTGAGTGGGGCTGGGGCTGGGAGAGGGGAAATTCAGGGTGCTGTGTGAGCTCATCTAGGGCTTGGGGAAGAGGCCAGAGAAGGCCTCCTGGAGGAAGTTCTTTCTAAGCTGAATCCCCAAGGGTGGATAAGAGGTGAAAGTCCTCCAAGGCACCACTCCCCTCCAAAATCTCTCATCCAAGACTGCCATGGTCATCCATTCCACTGGCTCCCCACTGACTGAGGAATGGGGAACTAACCCAGAGGGAATGTCTGTGGGGGCTTCTGGTCTGCTCCCTTGCTACAGCAGAGATACAGAGAGTAGAAAGTGCCTTCCTGTCCTTGGACATTGGCATGTATGGATGTCAGTCCTAGAACTGATATGGCCGAAAAGGAGAGCTCCAACAGATGATCCTGGGTGGCAAACTGGTGGGTCACAGATTATACCTGGCCTGGGCCCACCCTTCCTCTTCACTCTGTTTTGTGAGTTGGCAAATTACCTCTCTGCTTAGGTCTCATTCCTCTTCACTCATTGTCTAAAGCTGACTGCCTGATACAGTGACTGTTGTGGATTTTATTTGAGGGAGCAATATAGTTTCCGATGATTAAAACTGCCAGTGCCTCTGTGGGACACACTGGAGGAAGGCGGGGCCCAGGCCATGCTGGGAACCCTAGAGAAAAGAATGTAAGTGTCACATTAGCATTCTCTGGCCAGCCCAGGAGCCTTTCTTTCTCCGCCCCATTCTTCTGGGCCTCACCAGAATGCTGGCCATTGCATGGTGGTTTCCCCATCTGGGAGCCATAAACACACCTTGCCTTCTATTGTGTGGATCCATCCAGTTCAGCTCCAGCTCTTTCCTCAGTAGTTTGGGGCTGCTTCTGCTTTGGTGGATGCCCCAGGACAGTGCCCAGAGGGTGTGACTTTTTATTGCTCCTGCGTGGCTTGGAAGTCCTCCATGAATTGGTCCCATCTGCTCTGTTCAAACTCATCTCCCCATTCTCCAGACTACTCCCCAGCTCTCTCTCACACTCCAGATTCCAGTGTGGGCCCTGCCACCGACATCTTTCTCCCCGTAGGCCTGTGATTCCCCATTTGTAAAATGAGACCAAATGAGATAATGGATGTGGAACTCCCAGCCCACGTTTCCTGGCACGTGGAAGACGCTAAGTCAACAGAGGCTGTTTTCTGTCAAGCATCTTGTCATCCACCTGGCACTTGATAGTATGGCAGCTCGGTAAATGTTTCTTGAGTTGGACTTCAGGAAGATGTGGTATGTTGTGGGTACACGAGTCAAGGTTCTCCGGAGAAACCAAACCAATAGGACGTCCATGTGCCTGTGCATCTGTGTGTATCTATAACCATCTGCACATGGATAGATGGGTTTTAAGGAGTCGGCTCCCCGGGATCTTGAGTACTGGCAAGTCTGAAATCCAGAGGGCAGATGACACCACTGGACTTTCACATGACAGTTGCAGTCTTGAGGCTGAAATCTGCAGGCAGGCTAGCAAACTGAGAACTCGGGCAGAGCGTCTGTGGTCTTCAGGCTGAGTTGCTTCTGCCTTGGGAAGCCTTAGTCTCTGCTCTTGCGGCCTTCAGCTCATTGGCTGAAGGCCACTCACGTGATGGGGGCAGTGGACTGTAATTAAAGTCTAGTGACTGTGCAAGTTCATCACCCCCACAAATACCTTCACAACAACACCTAGATGAATGTTTGAGCAACTGGGCACCGTAGCCTAGCCGAACTGACAAGTAAGATTCACCAGAGCCGTGGGCAAAGAGGTTGCTGAGGGACATCACCTGCCGAACTGAGCTCAGACCAGTAAACTTGGTGGGTTCATTCGTGTCCAGTGGTCCTTTCCTTCTCTTCAGAAGCTGGGTGTGAAGATGAAGTAAATCCAGAACCATGGTGCTTGCAGCAGACATTTGATATGAGATCTTTATCCCTCTGGGACAAGGGACTGTGGAAAAAAGGAAAAGGAATAAGATAATGAAGGATGGGAAGTCACAGTGATTGACTCGGCTGCTCCCCTCCCCCCAAATAGGGGACTTCTCTAGGCCCCCGTGCCTTTGATGGCTCTGGAGAAGATCATGAGGACCTTCTTGTGGTGTGGTTTGGAGATAGGACAGTGAAATAGTTCACGGGAACCGTGTGGGGAGAGAGGGAGAGCAAAGGGTGATTAAGACACAGGTCAGTTGTGAATTGATGTTTCCAAAGGCTTGGTTTTTCTACACAAAAAGGTGTTCGTGAGAATGATTTTCTTTCTGCGAGAATCGCCTTTCCATATGAGGAAATATGATCCTGAGGGAGTCCCTGTGACATGTGAAAAATCAGTTGGGGAGGTAATGGGGCTAAGATCAGTTTCCGGATGTTTCACACATAAGCGTTTATTTGGGAGGGCGATGGCCCAGAGGGTGTAACTGGACTAACTCCTGAGAAACAACAGCTTTCACTTACTGACGTGTTAAGGGAGACTCTCTCTGGGACCTTTGTCTGTGTTTGTAGGTCAGATGATTTGAAACATTTCTAATATTGTTCTGTGTTTCCTGCTCTGATGCTTGGTTAATACAAATTGCCAATTGCCAGTATGCTCTGAAGAAAACCGGTGGATTCTTGGTTTCCAAGTTGGCTAGAAGGACAGAGCCTGGGTTGCTGCCCTGAAGTTTCAATCTGGCATTGCATGTGAAGCGTTTTTAGACTCCTTCAGGACATGTGTATTGAGAAAATATAGAGAGATGTCCTTGTGGCAAAGTCTGCCATTTGGGTTTTTCAACTACCACCCAGTAAGACCAACATTTTTGTTTTCTTTTGAGTACGGTTCTGCAGGCTTTATCCCATGTGTAGCTGCTCGTAGCCACCACCACGATCAGGACCGTGTGCTCGCCCTTTGCCCCCACAACACTCCTTGTTGCTGCCCCTTTGCAGACACACCTCCCCACCCCTAATCCCTGGTAAAAACAAATCTGTTCCCCTGACCTGCAGTGGTGTGTTTTAGAGAGGGTCATGGATCTGAAACCAGGAAGCCTGTGGCCTTCCAATATGGGCCTCCTTCTTTTAGCATAATGCAACATCTTGGTGAATCTCAGAGCAATACTCTATTCCTTTTGAATGCTGAGCAGCTTGTCATTGTGTGGACACCACAGTTTGTTTATCCTTTCATCTGAGGAAAGAGCTGCTGCAAACATTCATGTGCTGGCTTTTGTGGGAACCCAGGTTTTTCCTGGTCCAGGGTAGAGGCAGGCATGGGATTCCTCGGTCCTCAGGGGAACACAAGTTTAGCTTAGGAGAAAGCATCACTCTAGATTCAGAGTGGTTGTAGTCTTTTGCCTTCTCGCCAGCAAAGTGTGAGGGTTCCATTTGTTCAGTCTGTCCTCCGGCCCTCGGTACTTCCAGTGCTTCTCGTTTAACCATCGTAGTACTGTGTAAGGGGATACTGTCATCACGGGTTTAATGTTCAGGTCCCTGATGGTTAATGATGTTGAACATTGTTTCACGTGCTCACATGCAAGTCTTTGGGGTTTTTTGTTTTCTTAGCAGTAAGTTTTGCAAACGCTTTCTTTCTATGCTCTGGATATAAGACTTTGTCAGATCTGTGATCCTTATGCATAGCTCTGCTTTTCATCGTCTCGACACACTGTCTTTTTCCAAGCCAAAGCTGGTTGAAATTTTTATTCCTTCCTTTGTTTTAGAGACAGGGTCTCTGTGTATTGCCCGGGCTGGTCTGAAACTGGTGAGCTCGAGTGATCCTCCCTCCCTCGGCCTCCCCAGTAGCTGGAACTACAGGTGTGTGCCATCGTTCCTGGCTTCAGTTTTACATTTTGATGGAGTCTGTTTAATCAGTTTTCTTTCTTTCGTGGATCGTGCTTTTGCTGTCGCGTTCAGGACTTACTCTTTCCTGTCCTCTGGCTCCAGAGATGTTCTCCTGTGTTGTCTACTGAGAGGCTCACCAGTGGACTTTTCACTTTTAGATGTCTGAACCATTTTCAGTTAGCCGTGTATAAAAATGGTGGGGTCGAGGTTGGTATCCTGGCATGCGGATATGCAACACTTTCAATGGAAAGATTCTCCCTTCTCTTGAATTCACCTTCACATTTCTATCAGAACTCATATTTTCATGGGTGTGTTTACGGACTCTGTATTTTCTTCCATTAATCTACCTGTCTACTCCTTTCCAAGACGGCAGTCTTGATTACTGCAACTTTGGCAAGACCTCCCCCAAATTCATCCTTGTTTTTGAAAATTTGGACGTTCCAGGTGAAGCGCAGAATCAGACTGTGTATGTACACAGAACTCCTGCCAGGATCTCGATGGGAATTGCATTAGTTTTACAGAACAACTTGGGGATAATTAACTATTTTACCACATGGACTCTTCCACGTCATGGACACATTGTTTCTCTCCATCGAATTAGGTCCTCTTTGATTTCTTTCATTAGGATCTTAAGGTGTTCCGCAGGCACTTCCTGTAAATTTTTTGTTGTTATCGTTGGTTTCGTACGTACCTATTCCCTTGCGTGTTGCTTTTCAGTTTCAGTTTGTGACGCTCACGGTGGTTTTCCATGTGTTGACCTTGTCTCTTTCATCATTGCTAAATGCACTTATTAGTTCTAGGGGTTTGAGCAGAGATACGTTGGGGTGTTCCACGTGGCATACACGGTCATGAGATCTACGCCAAGGGGCAATTTGATTTCTTCCTTTCTCATTTGTGTGCTGCTCCCTTTCCTGACATCATTGCCCTGTCTGGGACTTCCAGGGTGACATCAAACAGTCGTGGTGAGAGTCACCACCCTGACCTTGTTCTCAGCCTTACAGAGAAAGCATTCCATTTCTTGACCTTGCAGGTTTGGGGGCACATACCCTTTAGCAGGTTCAGGAAGTGGTCTTCCATTCCCTGTGTGTCAGAGGATTTCATATCATCAGTGGATTTTGTGTCTTGTCAAATGGCTTTCCTTCGTACCTTCATATCATGCTGTCATTTGTCTTCTTTGCCTGACCTCAACCTCTGTGGGATTATGTTGATTTTGGGCGAGAGAAAGCACCACCTTTGCATTCCCGGTATGAAACCCACTTGGTTGTGGTTTGTGATTCTTTTCACATACTGCTGGGTTGGAGCTCTTGTGTATTTTGTTGAGGAATTTTGGGCTTTTGCTGATAAAGCACCAGTCTGAAGTTTTCCAGGTATCAGTACAGTACTACCTTCATGGCATCGCTTGCAAGTGTTCCCTCTGCTCTGATTTCTGGAAGAGATTGTGTACAATTGGTGTGATGTCTTCATTGAATGTTTGTTAGAATTGGCCAGGAAGACTCTCTGGGCCTGGAGATTGTTTTGCAAAGCCAGCCTGCCTGCCTGCCTTCCTTCCTTCCTTTCCTTCCTTCCTTCCTTCCTTCCTTCCTTTCCTTCCTTCCTTCCTTTCCTTCCTTCCTTCCTTTCCTTCCTTCCTTTCTTTCTTTCTTCTACCAGTTCATTTTCTGTAAACGATAGAGGACTGTCTACGCTACTTCATCCTGGGTGAATTTTGGTGGCTTACAATTTTCCAGCAACTGGTCCATTTCAACTAAGGTGTAGCATTTATTTTCATGGTGCTGACTGCAGTCTGACCATGTTGTTCTTTTTGTTCTCCGAGTCTGTAGTGAAATCTCTTCTGCCATCCCTGCTATTTATACCTTCTTTCCTCCCTCTTTTGCCCTTCCTGCTAAAGATGTATCAATTGATCATTTCAAACAACCAGTTTTCCATTTAATGGAGATTCACCATTCTTTTTTCTCCCCCCCTTCGCCGTCCCCCCTACCCCCCTACATGTGTTGTTTGCATTGTCGTGGTTTTACTTCCTGGTTTTTTAGTAGAAGAAATTCTTATTTACACGTATCGGGACTTTTGAGATGATTTCCATCAGTACGAGCAGCCTTTTTAACTAGATGTAAAGCCACTGATCGTGAAGGCAGAAATTCCCAAGGGTGTGTTGTCACCGTGGTACAAATATGTACAATTTACTGAAAGTCTACTCGATGAAAGTATTTGAATGCTTATGAGAAGAGCACGTGTTAGTCAGGCATTGCTTGTTCTTATCATCGTTCCTGAGCCTGGGTTACAAAGAATCTGCACGGAGTTAACCTCGTTCAATATGTTTCTCCATGTTACATCACATGCCTCATGGATGCAATCAGTGGTGCCATTTCTCAAACCTTTATGCTATGCCATCAGCATTCTAAGCTCTGGACATGTGTTATCTCATGTCATCCTCGGAGGAAGCCTAGAAGGTGGGTCTCATCATCAGCCCCATTTTACACCTAGGAAGCGGAGGGACAGAAAGGTGGGGTAAGATGAATAATCACGGGTTTTCTTTCTTCTCTTGTCACCCTTTGTTGCAGTCTGGTGTGTTCTGGCCACACGCTTCCCTCGCCACCTCTTAGCTATTCGAAAACCTCCAGCTTCACCTTCCCGGCTAGACCCCCGGGCTGGGCGGAGCTTCTAGCTCTAACTGGACCCCCATGGATCCACTCCAGAAATGGAACCCAGCGTTGGTTTCCGGATCTTCCCAGGTGACCGCTGGGGAGAACTCGCAGGAGGGTGCGGCAGCCTCTCAGCCTTCTTCCTCGGAACAGCTAATGATGGGCCTCAGCGGCCTGAACCCCAGTCCTGGTCCTGGCCTCTCTGCCCCTCTGCCAGAGGGGCTGTTCCAGCAGCAGTACAGGGAGGAGAAGACCCTGCGGGAGCGGCGCTGGGAGCGGCTGGGCTTCCCTCAGAGGAAGAAAGCATTCCTGGGTCACCTGAGACGCAGGCACCGCGATCACATGGCACCTTACCCAGTGGAAAGGGAGACCAGGGTCTACCCCACAGGCGACAGAGCTCAGAATCGGTTCCGATGTGAATGTCGCTACTGCCAGGGCCACAGGCCGAGTATTTCTGGGCTCTCTGGCGAGAGGAATGGGGCCCCCAACCCTTCCTCCTGGGAAACGCTAGTGCAGGGCCTCAGCGGCTTGACCCTCAGCCTGGGCACCAACCGGTCTGGCCTTCTGCCAGAAGGGGCACAGCAGCAGCAGCAGGAGCAAGAGGAGAAGTGCCAACTGGAGAAGCAGCAGGAAAGCAAGAGAATGTTCCAGAGGCTGCTCAAGCAGTGGTTGGAAGAAAACTGAGAGCCCCCTGCCCCCTTTCATGGGGCGGAGACCTGAAGGGATTCAGACAGTGCTGTGTTGCCAGCTCCTGGGGATGGGCTCCTTCTGGGGACCAGACAGTCAGCTGTTGTCGGAGGAGTCCCAAGACTAGTTTTGTGACTGGATGGATTCCTATTGGCGTGAGATTTGACCCACTCCCAGGGAGGTCCTCCTCTTCCTGCCTGTCATCTGTGAAGCGCTGTGGGGCACCCTGGGGCAAGGGAGACTGCACACCAGTGGACCTCACCTCATCCCATATGGCTCTCATGCCGCATGTTGTCGCTTTCCCAGCCTGGATCTGCGTCTTTGCTCCCTACCTTGTTGTCAGTAAGATATAAGATGTCTATGTAGTGTGAATGCCTTGTTCATGTCCTTGTGCTTTTGTGCCGTTTTATCGACTGCCTCCTGGGAGCAGTGCTAGGGCTGTTTGAAATGGCGGTGCGCAACACTGAGATCCAGGTTCGAGAATCTGCAGCTAAACAAAGTGTGGGAAAGGGGTGTGGCATTGGAACTTGGTGGCTCACTATTGTACTGTCTGTGTAAACTATTATGACTATGATAAGCTAACTGTAAGTAAATGTTTCCCTGCTCCTTAACCATTGAGTAGTATTCCCCCCGCGCAGGATTTTCTGATGGGGTACCTCATCGTCAATACCAAATAAACACGTGTATGAAAGGAAAGTAACTTTAGAATTCAGGTTTGTTGATCGATAGTGGTTTGTTTCTTGTTGGACCTTGACATCCCCGACCAGCAGACCAGAGCATGTCAAGAGGAGCTCTGCACTGTGGAGATTCAGAATGGGGGAGAAGGGGGCTCAAGAACCCTGTCCGGTCACTGTTTCAGGTGCTGTAGTGGGACCAGCATTCAGACCAGTCAGGCAGCGAGGTTGGAAGCAGGGTCCCCAGATCCCAGTAGGAGCCCATGCTGGTTGCCGCTGATGCCCTGGCTGAGGGGTCCAGGGCCATTCCTTGTCACCCGGTGCACTGGTTTGGTGAAAGTGTACAGCAGTTTTCCGCCTGCTTCCTGAGAACCAGAGCATCACTGAGTTATTTCAAAACTGTATCTGGATTTAGACACGTTGTCTTTTGATTTCAGGAAGCCTGAGTGATTAAATCTACCTATTTTCCCCTACAGAAGCCCGTGATGTGTATCCAGCCACGGACCATGTGATTCCTCTGAGCCGAAAACAAATTCTGCTTTGTGTCAGTCTGTTTTTAGGGAGGCCCCAGCACTACATTGCTGCAGAAGTCTGCGCGTCTCCTGCCAACACAAGTGGCTTGAGAGCAGGTAAGTTTCTCAGATTTTCAACTTGGGATCCCCTCAGAGAACTTGAGAGCTAAACTGACCCGATCAGGATCTCGTCTCCCAGTTCCAAGGAAGAGGGTAAATAAAGAAGGGCGAATTCTTTCCTGAAACTCAAAGGCCTAAATCCTAGAACGGGGATTCTGCAGTGTTCAGAAGGGATGACAGGGTGATGCACATTGGCTGGTTCTTTACCAGGTGTCAGACAGTATCCTGCGTGTTTCTATATGTTAGCTCTTTTTATCCCCACCACAGACCCATCACTTAGGAACAATGTCAGCCCCACAGTAGAGAGCTTGGCCAGGGTCCCCTGGGCGGCAAGAGGCAGAACTGGCGCACAAGCCTAGGCAAGGTGGAGTCTAGCTGGCAACCTGAACCTGTTCCCCCTTTGTAATGGCTATTGCAAAGTCACCTTACTGACACCTTATGCCTTCAAGGACCAAGTCTTGGTAAGATGTGTTGTTGAATCCTCAGCACAGCGCAACAAGGCAGGGATGCTTATTTGTTGCTGAGAGTCTGTGGAGGTTGTAAAGTGGTGGCCAGAGAGGCAAGCCTTTGTCTGACTCCCCACACACTGAGTCACGCTCCTCAGACCTCGCCTCACCATCCTCAGTTCATCGGCCACACCAGCTCCGTGATGCCAATGACGACCAAGCGTTAAACCAATCCCCCGGGGTTCAATTTCCACACTTGAACTCCCCCTAGTCTAGGCCATGCTGACGGTTGTGGTGGGGAAATGAGGAAGAATGGCGCCGTTGGTCCTTGCCCTTAGGCACTGAGCATTGAATCAGGGAGGAAGATTGGGCACTGTCTCAGTCTCTTTTGTAACAAGATACTACAGACTGGGCAATTAATACAGAAGAGAAAGTTATTTCTCATGGTTCTGGATGCCTGGAAGTCCAAGATCAAAGTACCTGCGTCTGGTTTCTGGTGAGAACCTTCTTCTCACATGGCAGAAGGTGGAAGGGCAAGCGGAGATGGACGTCGTTCCTTTCATGGCAGTGGAGCCAAACCCATTCACACAAGCCCCCTTTTAACAGAATTAATGCATTCATGAGGGCAGATCCCTGGGGACCTAAATACTTCCCGTTAGGCCACAGCCCACCCCACCCAACCCCGACACTACCACATTGGGGTTTAAGTTTGCACATCAGTTTCAGAGGGGACAAAAAGGTTCAAACCATAGCATGCACCAACGGATGGGCTAGGGAGCAGGCAATTGATCCCTTGTGTGGGGCGGTTTGTTCAGGGTGAGAGGAGTGAGAAGGAACCCCGTTGGGGCTCCTCCATGCAGACACGGAGGGCTTGTGGAGGAATTCATTACTACAGAGCAAATCAAAGTATGCAGGAGATTGTGTGGAGAATGGCACCATATCCCCGCCTCCAAGACAAAGGTCTCTATACCCATGGATGGGTTGTAGGAGGGGTTCTGGAAGGGATGTCTCAGACATCAGACTATCCAAAGCTACAGGCTAGGAGCTGGAATCTCATGGTGTCCACAGACATCCGACATGTCAAATTCTAAACCGGACACTGAATGAAAGGTACCAGCAGGCAAGAAAACACTGGGGCAGAGAAAGGTTACAATGGATGCACAGGATGAAAACCTGGACAGATTTAGAGCATTCCTATGAAACGGAGAGAGGAAATGAGAAATATCTTCCCACAATTGAGAAGTCAGGCCCAGGTGACTTTGGGGGTGAATTCTACCCAACATTTAAAGAAGAAATAGTACCAATCCTTTGCAGACGCTTCCAGAATGTGGAAGAGGGTGGGGGGTTGGGGGGCATTTCCCAACTCATTTGGTGAAGAGCATTTACTCTGCTACTAAAGCCAGACAGAGACATCACAGGAATGCGACAGACCGATATCCACCATGAATATCAACACAAAAAGGCTGAAGAAAATATGAACGAGTCAGGTGTAGAGGTGCAAACCTGTAATCCCAGCTATTTGGGAGACTGAGGCCGAAGGATTCAAAAGTTTGAAGCCGTCCTGGGCACCTTAGCGAGGCCCCGTTGCAAACTGAAAAAGAAAAATTATTTTTACAGGGCCGGGAGTGTACTTCAGTGGTAGGGCGCATGACCAGCATGTGTGGGGCCCTGGGTTCCATCCTCAGTGGCACCAAAAATAAAGAAAATATTCATGAACCATATCCAGCAACAGATACAAAATGTTACGCAACATTTCCAGGTAAAATTTCTCCTAGGAATCCACGATTGGTTAACATTCCAATTTCAATTAAGGTCTTCCACCATGTTAATATAATAAAGGACAGAAGCGGCATCATCATCTTGATAGGAAAAGAAAAGGCGTTTGACAAAACCCAAGACACATTCATGGAAAAAGAATTTCTCAACCAACCCCACATGGTTAGAAGGAAAGGCTCTCAACCTATAAAGAGCATCTACCATAAACCTGCAGCTGACATTATATATTGTAGTGAAATAACAAACACTTTTCCCGTAAGACTGAGAGCAAGGCAAGGATGCTCGTTCCCACCGTTCTCTCCACAGGTTCTATCTGGCGCAGTCACGTAAGAAAAAGAAGTGGAAACGTGGATACATTAGAAAGGAAAACACATGACCACTCAGAGACGTGCTGTGGTTTGTCCCCTCCAAAATTCATGTTGAAATTGAATCCCCATTTTTGAGATCTTAGGAGGGGCCTGTGAGAGGTGATGAGCGCTCTGCCCTCACCAATGGACTAGTCTAGGACGAATCGGGTAAGAGGTTAATGGGTTGATCTGGAGAGTGGGTCTGCTATGAAAGCCAGTTAGGACGGTACCCTCTCTGATGCTCCATGTCTCCCTGCCACGAGATGCCCTACTCCACCTGGGGACCCTGCCAGGAAGAGGGCCATGGCCAGATGGGGAACCTCGACTCAGAACCATGAGCCAAAATAAACCTCTTTCCTTTATACCTTCCCAAGTTGAGGATATTGGCAACAGCAAACAGGCTAAGACAACGTGTACTCCATGCTTATAGCAGTATTATTCATGATGGCCCCAGATGAAGACAATTAAATGCCTGCCAGTTGTTGAAGGTATAAATAAAAGGTGGAAAAAATAAAATAAAATAAATGAAAAAGTGGAATTCAGGTATCCATATAGTAGAATATTAATGAGCAAAGTACAGGGACAAACTACTAATACGTGCTATGGCTTGTTTGAAACTTGAAAATATTTTCCTAATGGCCAGAACCCGGGGAGTGGGGAGAGGGGAAGTCCGCTTCTTGCATGAGTCAGTTTATAGGGAATTCCTGGGCCTGGCGGTAGTCATGGAGATTGACTGCTACATGGGTATGAGGGAATCTTTTGGGGGCAAGGGATAGAAGCATTCTGAAACAGGGTTGTGGTGATGGTTGCACAACCGCATGAATGTACAGAACGTCAATGCATTGTACCTTTAGTTGCATGAATTTCATGGTATGCCTCAATAAAGATGTTTTTAAAAATGTAATGCACACGTGGAAGTTAGTCACGGGGGAAAGGTGTGCAGTCGTTTCTCTACAACAGTAAGGAATCTGTTGCTCTCTCTCTTTCCTTCTTCTGGGTCCTGCCTACATTTCCTGCATCCCCCATGTGCACTTGATGCTCCAGCCAGACGGTGGCACTGTGCACGTCTGGGTAGAAGGTGTGCTGGTGAGTGCACAACATGACTGTGTGTGTGCACCAGTATGCCTGCGCAATCATGAGCACAATTCCGTAACTGGGGGCAGGTTCCCATAATCCATCCTGCGTCCTAAATTCCATGTACGTCATTTTTTACTCACGAATCTCAAGGATCCGGCTTCAGTCTCCCTGGTAACCAACCTCGGCTCTCAGCTTCAACCTCTGTTCCCAGGAAGACATCAGAGTGGGGAGGGCTGTTGTCTCACTCCAGGGCCCCCTGCCTGAACAAGGGACCCTGTGGAGGTGAGCAGCAGCACGGTTTCCAAGACAACGGCATTCAGAGGCCTCACCACCTGTGAGGCCCTCCTCCTCCCCTCAGCCATCAAGTAGGAAAGGGGACTTTGTGGAATAAACACACTCCTGACTCCTTGAGATTTATCTACATATGCCTATAAAATGAATGGCTCAAACATAGCTCTCCACAGGGAAGATACCCAATCAACCTTTTGGGGGAAAAAAAAATCAGTGAACAACAAACAAGACCCTCAAGCTCAAGATTGTATTTGAAAACAAGACAGGGGGAGGAGGAGTGTGTGTTTAGGATTCTCAGCCTCAAGCTGCGCATGAGATCTCTGGTGGAGTGATTTTAAGAACAGATGCAGGGCCGCCGTCCCCAGAGATCCTGATTTAGTCAGTCTGAGATGAACCACCACCAGCACCACCCCTCCCCCCCGCAATGAGTGTTACCTTATGCTCCACTGAGGA